CTAAGAGGAGCCGACATGGTGGTGTGGTTTGAGTGCTGGACTATGGCTCTGGAGGCCTTGTTTCGATTCCTTGTTTGGCCATGAAATCTACTGAGTGATCTTGGGCAAGTTCCATGCTCTCAGCCTCAAGGGAAGGCAATGGTAAACCTTTTCTGAACAATTCTTGCCCAGAAACCCCCATGATAGCTTCACCTTAGGGTCGCCCTAAGTGGGAAATGACTTGAAAGCACAAGAACAATAACAAGCTGCTCTAAGAGCCATTCCAGGTGGAAAGAAGAATATAAGTGCTATAAATACCAAATAACTACAGACAGCCTCAGCCACCATAGGTATGGGATGCTGGGATTTTAAGCCCAGCAAAATGTGGAGGGCTACATATTCCAAATATGGTTTATTCTTTTACTGATTGTAACTGATTACCATTGTTTACTGAGTTTACTCTTGGCATATATACTCATATAAACTCAGTTCTCTCTTCTTACATATCCAGAATGGCACAATTTTGGAGGTAACTGTAAGCTCAGCTAAACCTCAAACTTGGCACTTAAGTGTGCTTCATGGTGTGGTGCATGGTGGTGGCGCAGTGGTTAAATGCCTGTACTGCAGCCACTCACTCGCAAACCACAGGGTTGTGAGTTCAATTCCAGACACAGGCTTAGGCACAACTCAGCCATGCATCCTTTCATTGTTGGGGGCAATGAGCTTACAGGTGCAAACCGCTTAGAGACTGCATCGTGTGGTATGAAGCGGCATATAAATGAAGCTGCTATTGGTGTTCATGGTTAAATTTGCGTTTTTTGATGTACTAATATAGAAATCATCTTGTCTTGCCAAATTTGGATTTCCTGGGTACAAAATTCAATGTCTTTTTAAAAATGCATGGAGTAGATAAGAGCAGAAGCAATAGAAGACAGAGACCAGGTACCTTCAGGAGTTGCAGCAGAATTGGGGGATTGGGGGTGGAAAGGGCTCAGAAAAGAGCGTACATTGGTTTGTAGCAGAAAGTACCAAGTTCAATTCCTGGCATATTCTGCTAAAAGAGATGAGGTAGTAAGCCTGGGGAGGATCTCTGCCTGGGAACTTGGAGGATTGTGTCCAATGAGAATAAACAGCGCTCGGTATCATTACAAGCTGTACCAATTATCTGGCTCAGTATAGGCAGCTGCATACATTCAGAACATCTGCATAGGGCAAAAAGCATCATATCAAACCAGGAAGGGGTATAGCTCAGTGACTGAACAAAGGCTCTGCATGCACATTCAACCTCCATCATCTACGTAGGGCTTGGAGAAGACCAAAGTCTGAAAACCCAGAAAACCCCATGACAGGTTCACCTTTGGATCTCCACAAGTCAGAAACAATTTGAAGGCCCAAAAGCACCACCTCACCACCAGCCTTGAAAACTAGAGCCCTTCTGAACACCTCCAGGCATCAAAACGAATATGGACACAGGAAGGAATCTTGTCATGCTCAGACCTTCCGTTATGTATACACCAATGATTCCCAAATTCGGACACCCAGAATGCCTTGTCACTGGTTGTGCTAGTTGCAGTTTCTCAAAGTTGAAGTGCAAGGACCTTTGGGGACCCACAGTTGGGAACTCCATGTTTACTCTGAGTGACAGCTGCTGTGAAAGCCTTTTCAAACCTTACCAGGTAATGCTTGGAATCAAACTTGGGACCTTTTGTATACAACCTGTGAGCTTTGCCGCTGATCTAGTGCTCTTCTGCTATTGATCTGATGTAGAACTGATGATAGCACTTGAAGAAAAAATTAAGTTTTGCCTAAGGCATATTTTTCTTTTATAAAATTTGTTAAAAGCTTGCACGTCATTCGATCTATCTATTTATTAATATTTGCCAGCATGCCTGCGTATGCACCTCACTGCTTTTCCTGCCTCCTCATTCATTCATTTATTCATGGGACAAAAGCAGAGGCAGGCACTAAGAGTCTACTGAAAAACACAGAGCGGAAACACACACTGAAGCACTGTGCCTTCTGTCTTATCCCACTCTTCCAAATCCTGATGCTATCCAGACAGCTGAGATAGAACTCCCATCATCATGGGATAATGGGAGTTATAGTTCAACGCATCTGGATGGCCCCAGAGTGGTCTCGACCAAATAAGAGACAAAAGGAAGCCGGTTTAGCATTTGAAATGTCATGGTTATTCACTGCATTTGTAGGATCTGTTGATCCTTTCTTGCACAGCAAGGTTTTTTCTCTCTTTCTGTCATACGCACAGTGCATGCACACTTTTTCAAGCTGATCTTCCTGCCAAATTTGGCCTGGCTTGTGTCATTGTACCAAAGGCCTTTCCTGCTTCTTTTGCGGAATGATTCCCAGCTCACATGTGTCTCAGGAAGGCCCAGGGGCACCAAAGTCATTCTAAATGGGCACTTTACCAGGAGGTACTTACCTTTAATGGCTTCTTTGTATAGCTGCAGCTTGGCTTTTAGGCCGTTTTGCTAAATTGTTACTTAATCCATATAGAGTTCATTGGCCTCCTGTTGGACAAAGAGGCCTGGCCTTTGGGTTTTGTGATGGAATAGTCAAAGTGGCTTTTAACAACAACAGCGGCAGCAGCAACAACAACAATGGACTAGAAAAAGGAGGAGGAGAAAAAGTCATATTTTTCCGTCCCTGGTGGACGCACCTTACTAAGAAAGTGGTGCAGACACTAGCATGCACAATTAATCAGGTAAAATGTGCAACCATAGGGGACATGCACAAGAGCACAACACAGGTTTTTGTGTGTGAAGAGGAACACCAAGGAAAACACACACAGAGAAATTTTTCACCCTATCTATTTAACTTATGTGCTGAACATATACATAAAGCAGGATTAGACTTGGAGGAAGGAGGCGACAAAATTGAAAGTAGGGCCATCAACAATTGAAGATGCGCAGATGACACCATACGACCAGCAAAAGATAGCAAAGACATGGAATGGCTGAAGAAAGTCAAGGAAGAAAGTGCAAAAGTGTGCAACACACACACACACACAGAGTTACATTTGTTACACACTAACAAAACACGCAACTTTGTCAAAGGCATCATTAAGAACTGCACTGCCCAGATAGAAGACTGAATCTGCACAGTAGGGCCAACACATCCTTGCAAGAAGGTTACTAACTACTGCTTTTCTACTGTCCCTGCTTCCCTCTCCCATCCAATTATTATGGCAAAAGGAAATGAAAGAGCACATTGCCAAACACTAATGGACCTGATGTTTTCATAATCTCAAGTGGCCAACAATTGGAGCTGTTTATTTTACAGAGGAGATGGGAATCAGGGGTGGAGAAGAACTACAAAGAGGTTCCAGACCCTTAATGCCAATTCTATATTCAGACCTTGCTCCAGCCAGTAGGCTGATGTTTATCGTCTCCTATCTGTGGCCTTAAACGCCCTGGAAATTTGCCAAAGTGTGTGAGATTCCAAGCAGGCAGAACGGAGGGGAGAAATGGCTTTGATCTCCCTCCCCGCACTCCGTTCCCTACAATGAGACTTGATGGTACAAAGGGAAGAGGCTACCCAGAAGCTTTCTTGCAGGCAGAAATACAAAACCTTTGCCTATGTAGATCTGAAAAACTATAGCTCAGCTGCGAATGGGATGAATGTGCCACAACAACTGAGTCTCTTGACCTATATATGAATACTCTGGATAAGAGGCCACTTCCAGGGCACAATATGAAGGAACAGAATCATTTGTTTAATTGGCAAGGGGGTCAGATAAGGCGCCGTCTTTTCACCCTAGACTTGAACCTATCATTGTGGTGGGCCTTCGAGTTGTTCCCAGCTTATGGTGACCCTAAGCTGAACCGGTCACAGAGCTTTTCTTGGCAAGATTTGTTCAGAGGATATTTGCCTTTGCTTTCTTCTGAGGCTGAGAAAGTGTGACTTGGCCAAAGTTACCTGGTTGGTTTCCATGGTCAAGCAAGGATTCAAACCCTGGCCTTTCACAGTCTCTGTCATAAGATCATAAGAGATCATAAGAGATCATAATTATGATCATAATGATCATAAGAGAGGATCGAGTCCAACATTCTGTTTCTCACAATGAGCTGCCAGATGTTTCCAAAAAACCCCCATGAGGATGTAATATCTAGTAGTCACCAGAAATTGGTACTAAGAAACAACTTGCCACTGGAAACCTGGGCATTCCATGGAGTCATTGGCTAATGGACACTGTCAGCATTTACCTTTTTAACAAATTTATTTAGATTGAAGCTCTAGCTAAGTCAAGTGACCAATGGGGCAGCCAATTCCATAGTTATTATATTGTATAAAGTACAAGGTGTCCTGACCCCACCTCCTATTCATTTCCATGTTGGAATTGTAAGAAATTGAGGGGGGGGGGAATAATTGGCTTGTACTTTTCCCACGTTGTAATTTTTATAAAACTTTTAAATATTTGAAGTCGTAGGCTTTCATGGCCAGCATCCATAGTTTTTTTGTGGGTTTTTCGGGCTGTGTGGCCATGTTCTAGAAGAGTTTCTTTCTGACGTTTCGCCAGCATTTGTGGCTAGCATCTACAGAGAAAACTTTTCTCTGAAGATGCTAGCTACAGATGCTGGCGAAACGTCAGAAAGAAACTCTTTTAAATATTTGTTTATAAATACTTTTTATAAAACTTCTGCTTTGCGAACAGAATGCTAGTCTGATTCAGCATCCTATATACCTCTGAAAAGGCTTTCAGTTAGGAAAAAAAGCCTTTTCAGAGGTACATAAAAGTACAAAAAGGCTAGACTGATCTCAAGGGTTGCTGGAGCATGGAAGAAAATCTCTGAAGATTATCTCAGGATGTTTGTGTTATTATGGCCTGACTCCATCTGGTTATTCCCAACTAGAATTGTTGTTGTGTGCTTTCAAATCGTTGCCAATTTATAGCGACTCTAAGGTGACCCTCTCGTGGGGTTTTCTTGGCAAGATTTATTGTCTCTGTCTTCCTCTGAGGCTGAGAAAGTGTGACTTGCCCAAGACCACCCAATGAGTTTCCATGATCAAGCAGGGATTCAATCCCTGGTCTCCAGAGTCGTAGTCCAACACTCAAACCACTAGGCCATGCTAGCTGTTCCCAACTAGAACAGATCCACTGAATCAATAGTTGAATGCCAATGCACTGATAAATAGTATTGATTTAATGAGTCTCCTCTGGTTGGGACAAAGAATAAGATGTCCCCTGCTCAAGCATCTTTGATCCTAAAAAGCCGCAAATGTTTCAGTCATTCCTTGTAGGGAAGATGGATACATCACCACCACCACCCCTGCCGATCTTTTTGGTTATCCTTTTCTATCCCTTTTCCAGATTTACAACATTCGATTTTTGCAGCAGGTTTTCACAGCCTGTTAAAGTCAGCCTGAGTTACATCTTCAGGAGACCCACAAGTCGAAATACAGCTTCCCAGTTAGGTGTGGCATCCTACCATAGATGAGAAAGATTTCTTTCAAGAGACTGCGAGCATAAATAATAAATAATAATTATTATTAAATAATTATTTAATATTCTAAATAATTATTTAATTATTTAAATAATTAATATTTAAATAACTATTTAAATATTAAATATTTAAATAATTATTTAATTATTTAAATAATTAAATAATTATTTAATATTTATTAAAAATAAATAATTATTATTATTAAATGAAATTCACATCGCAAGGTGGGACGAGTTTGGCTCTGAGTGGGCCACATGCATTGTCCATTCCCTGACACTGGACTTTTCACTGCTAATGGCTCTTGCAACCTAAATAGATCAAGAACCAAGAAGTGGGCTATTCCCATAACTTAGTGCTTTCTCCCAATTTGTGATTATTCATTACTAGCGTATTGATTGGGGTATATACAAATTGTGCATTAAAGAGTGCCTACTCAGGGCACTTAGGTGCCTTTGGCCATGTATTAAAAATAAAAATTGTCTTTGCAAAAAATAGCAAACACTAATGCAGAGTCAGATGCATTGTCCAGCAATCCAGGACTGGCTCCCAAGCATCTTTGCCCAAAGCACAGAGGTTGCACGGCGCCCTTGGATACATCTTTTCTGGGTTGTTTTTTTTTTTAAATGTGGATGAGAAGAACGTTTTCAAACAGACTTGCAATGCTTTCTAGGTGATTAGATCCGGAATTGGGGGAGCAGGGGGATGCCTTCTGTCACAACCCAGCTCTCTGCCCTTCCTCATTTCATTGGAATTAAGTCTCCCACCTGAGACGACAAGGTTTAAATGCGCTTAATCTCCTGGCTTAAGTTACAGTGTTTTTAATATTTTTAAAACGTTTGTTTTCCGAAAAGGGGGGATTTAGGCAGGTTTTTGAATAACTAACCTAAGCCCGTCTCATTAAACAGCAGGCAGGAACCCTTTCCATCAGCTTTGCTTTTGCCCCAGCAGTGTCCAAGGTGGCATGACTTTCTGATTCAGAATGAAATCCAAGTCAATGGCTTTCAAGCAGGTTTCCTGGGAACGGTAGATGAATGCGTAGCCTGGAGACCTATGGCTCCTTTGCGCAATCCTTTTTTTGAAAAGTAAAGAAGGAGTAAGAAAAGCAGGCTTGGACACAGAAGGAGGAGGAGGAGTGGATTTTGGAATTCCTCCTGGATGGCATATTGAAATGTAGGACATGCCCAAGAAAAGAAGGGTGTCTGGTCACCCTGAACATTTGATCCATTCCCCTTCCATCCCTGTGAATTGCCATGGATCCTGATAGCATGGCGTAATGAGCAATAATGGGAGCAAAAAGTATGATGGTAGGGAGTGGGTCCCTCAAGATGGAAGAGCAAAGATGGCAGGTGTCCCATTTCATCTAGTTGTCGGTGTTCCCACATCTCAGTCCCTTGCACCAACCAAGGGAGCAACAATCCTTTTAGAAATGCACCAGAAACCCACTGAAAATGATGTGAGATCTATCAGAAGAGAACAAAACTTGAAAGAGGATGAGCTCTTGTCACAGAAGCTCTTGCACGAGTATTAAAAATCCAGCCTCAAGATATCGCTGAATAAGATATTAACATGACAGCAGATGATGCAGCAAGCTCCAGCGATTGAAACCTGGAGAAGAAAAAAAAAATGCAATGCCATAGGGTTACAGCATCTAATATTCATGAAATAGTCTAGGGTAGAGGTTGGTCTGAACTTTAGGACTCTAGCCGCTGTTTTCAAGGGCAGCCCTCGAGTGGAAAATAATGCACTCCAGTTTTTGGCTGTTCAGAGAACAGGACCCAAAGCAATGGATTCAAATGATAAGAAAGGAAATTGCCATTAAACATCAGGAAAAACTAGTTGATGGTAAGAGCTATCCAGCACCCAAATGAATTGCCTTGGAAGGTAGTACCGGTAGGTTCTCTTCAATGGGTTTTTTTATACAGAGATAAGAAGGTCATCTGATATGGCTGCTTTAACTGTGGATTCTTGAATTGGCATAGATTAGACTATGGCTGCATTCACACTGGAGAAATAATCCAGTTTGACACCACTTTAGTTGCCACGGCGCAATGCTATGGGATTCTGGGAATTGCAGTTTGTTATGGCACCAGAGCTCCCTGATAGAGAAGGCTAAATGTCTCACAAAACTACATTTCCACAAATTCCGTAGCACTGAGCCATGGCAGTTAAAGTGGTGTCAACCTGGATTATTTCTGCTGTGTGAATGCAGCCTTAATGGCCCTTGGGGTACTTTGCTTTTAATACCGTGCAGTAACTAGTTCACTATTACTGAAAACAACCTTGCAAGCTAACCCATTTCACCAGGTACAGGAGAAAAACCAGTAGATAGTAAAGTATATGAAACTAATGGCAGAACAAATCCTTTACTAGTACAAAGTTCCCTATTTCAAGCCAAGCCATTTCCACTGAAAAAAGAGTTACCTGATCCCATAAAAACCCCAAACCCAAAGCAAAATAGAAATCCAGCCAGCTCAAATGCCTAAAGTCACAGGAAAGGCCCAAGTCTTTATTAGAACGATGCCATTAGGACAATTCTAATGCATAAAAGTATATACTGTATACATTATACACAGTGTTTGATCAAAACTAATACATTAGAACAATGTCACCTTTTCCATATTCTTGAACTGGAATGCTCCAGGACAAATATCCCAGGACAGACTGCAGTTTCTACTTTTTCAGGGGAAGCGTCCTGGTGTTTTGAAACTCTTTTCTCTTAAGGAGTCAAAAGCCTGGCGTAGGCTTTTGTGAGGTAGGACCAAGGGAAGCAAAAGGTTTAAATGTTTTTGAAGGCTGCTCTTGAAAAAGGATCATTGGCACACAGGGAAAAATTTACGCATGCTTGAAAGGAGGCCTGACAAAGATCTGGAGCATGATCCATTTAGGTCCCCCCAGAGATTCCCATTGCTCACATGGGCAAAGATGAGCCCAGACTTTGCCCCACTTACTCCTCCCCAAGTAGACCTTTGCGCAGCAGATTGTTTCCTCCCAGAAGCTCAGGAGACACCATTTACTGAATTTATTTTCTTTGTTTTCATTTCATTGTGATCCTACCTTTCTCCCCATATGGGACCCAAAGCGGCTCGCAACACAGGTTGGAACAAAATAGCTCAAACAATACGTAGTACCAAAGCATGAAACAATGAACCCAATGGCATCATTCATTTAAAAGCAAGTGAAAACACGTTAAAATCAACACACTCTCCAAAAGAGCACATCCTTATCTACCCCAACCAGTTAAAGACTGCCATGAGTTTTGCTCTACAGCCCTATCATCTTGTTTTTGGGTTCATGGAATAGCTGTGGTTTGAGGGTTGGACAGCGACTCTGGAGACCCGGGTTTGATTTCCACTCCTGCCATGAAACCCACTAGGGGATCTTGGGTGAGTCACACACTCTCAGCCTCAGCAATGGCAAATCCCAAAAGGATGGGATGGAATATCCCAGAAAGGAGTGCTGTTGGCTACGAAAGCACGCCACCCTGCAACATTTCATTGCAGCTCGCACTTGGAAATGCAAGAACTCTTAACAACGCACAGATCTACTGGATGATCAAAATATCATGTCTCAAACCTTCGAGGCAGAGGCATCATCTCAAACATACATGCCCGACAGGACCCCGCCACGAGAAACTTACAACAAATGTGAAACTAGATCCACGCGCCGACCTTGGCGATTGTCTCAACTAGTAATTTAGTAATTTCAAGGGAAAGTACAAAGGAGTCTTGCATAACTTTTGGGAACGATCACTAACAAGAACGGAGCAGAAAGTAAAGGACAGAGTAAATTGCTTTCAAAGCTATTATTAATATTTCCCTGTATAAATTATATATGTGAAAATGAGGACAAAGGGCCGTGTAATTATTCATCAAGTTCCTGGCCTCCATGAACAGACATTGGTTTATTTATTTTCTCGGTCCCCTTTTCATGCTGTATAAATCACAGAGTGTCTCAAAGAGCAGAGAATGGTGTTTGGGCCTGTCATCCATTCCCAAGAACACACCCCAACAACCATTGGCTTCTTTTGCTTTGGTTTCTCCTGTCTTGCACCTGGATTGTCCTTTAGGTTGCACCAAACTGTTTGGGTTGAAATAAATGCAAGTGGGGGAGCGCTTTTCTCCATCCCTAGTTTTGTAACTTTATGCAACCATCACCAGCACGACATAGTAGTGGTTTGAGCATTGGAGTATGACTCTGCAGACCAGGGTTCGAACCCCGGCTCAGCCATGTAAGCCCACTTGAAGTGATCTTGGGCAAATCACACTCTCTCAGCCTCAAGAGGATGGCAATAGCGAATCCCCTCTGAAGAAGACGTGACAAACTGGGAAGTATGACAATGCTTGTGAAAGTGGAAGGCACTAGAAAAGGAGGAGGACTGTATTACAGGTGAATTGACCCAAAGAAGGAACTCACCTGTAAGACCTGAGCAGGGCTGTTGAGAACGGGGTTAGAGGCCAGAATGCTAGGTTACATTCACTCATCTACAGTGGATTTTCTTATATTTATATCTATATTTTATGTATAACCCAAAATTCATAAGCCAGGCTTTCTTCCTCCTGGAAGACCTATTATATCTTACTCAGAGGTCTCTCATTCATGGGGTCACCATAAGTCGAACTTGACCTGACAGC